TAGCCAACTTGTTCCATTAATTTTTTTTTTTGCTATGTAATAATGTTACTGTACATTAAGTTTTCAAAAAGTAAGGTGATTAGATTAGTAAGGTTTTCCACCAGATGGTATTGTATAATAAAGGTTAACGGTAAGTTATTGGGTGCGCAATTTAAGGGCTATTTTTTTTCTCTTAATCAATCAAATTAATCGCTCCTTGTTTTTGGACTTTTTTAAATCCCAAATAGAAGATAAGGATGGGGAATTATCATTGGTTAAATATGCAGCCTAAGTCAAGACTTTGATGAGGCTTATTCAATCGCTGACGATCATCTACAGCTATCAAGGATTGTTTGGTGTTGATTACTGTTGTACAGAATAAATATTCATATTGAAATGAAAAAAAAAAATTGGTAGCAAGGTCAAAAAAAAAAAGTGTAAAGCATTTACATTACAAGTCCCAATTATGTTCCCTATTTTTTTATTCTAGATGCCAGTTTAGCTCATTTGTTTCTCTTAAAAATTTACCATCTGTTTTTTTCTAAATAAACTAAATTCATTGAAAAAACTGATGGTATTGATGATGTTTGATGAAGCTCCGCGGTGATAATTCTTTCCAAATGTTCTACAGAGAATGCTATCTGATAAATTATTTGAAAAATTCTAAATAAAAAATCGTTTTAGCCGCCTTTTTCGTTTTGTTGACTATTATGAGCATTATTTTTTCAAAAATTATTTTCTATTGATAAGTCAATGGATTCTTACTTGAATACTACTAGCAGAATAAAAATGATATCTGGTAAAGTAGAAACATTTTGAACGTCATTAGTTGCATTTAAAAACAGTAATTTTTGATCATCATTTGAATCCAGTTTTTGCTGCATGATTTTCCAAGTCAGTAGTTCATTTAAGCACCTGTAACCACTGATTTTAATGTTTGCATAAGATTGTTGCTGAAAAGATGTTCGTCTGGTCGTTGCACATTTACGGAAAGCTGTAGGTAAATATAAATGATATGCTATCAATGATAACTGTCTACAGAGTTGTACTTTAGAATTGTCATTTCATGGACAGTCTAAAAATAAATGCATACTTATTACAATGTTCTTCAACTGCAGTTACTCTTCATTTTCTTGAACCCAAGATATTACGTTTCGATCGCTTACTGATTCTCTACCTTTTTGTGACCTAAAATTCGCAATCAGATATACTAATTTTACATTAATTGCTGTTGCTGCTGCCGCTGTTGAACATTATCAACAATATAAATAACGTTAAATTGGTTGATGTTATTATTAAGATAACTAAATACAGCGGTTGAAAGGTCAACTAACTCATAGTTTCCAATAACTTCACGTCTTTGTTCCCGTGTTACCACACTTGGTTGCCACTGTTTGAATTCCTCGGCCTTGCGTTTTTCTTCGGCTTCCTCGTACAACGTCTCAACACCAGTATATTTTCTCATCTCTTTTAGATTGCTGTGTCTAAAGAATGTTTGGTAATTGATGCTGAATGCTACATAACGACTAATATAAGTTGAAGGCTTCAAACCAAATGAATAATTTTAAGTTGATAATACTTTCAGAAATATCAAAAAACTCTATTCAGTGTGACCAAATTATTTTTAAAATATGAAGAAGTATAAATGAGAAATTTTAAACAATTAAATATTTTGTTGATGCAGATGAAGTCTTTTTAGTTTCTTTGTTTTCTGAATCGAAAGTCAGATATCTGTAGTATTTATACAGAAGAAGCCTTACAAAACGTCAAAATTGTTTTCATTTGTTGGCACAGAATGAGGTCTCTTGGCATTGCCCGGTTTTCCTTCTTGTCCTGGAAAAAAACTTTTAAGTTTTTTCAGTTGAAAAAGCATTTGGACGACAATCTACGAAAATTTTTGAAAGAGCTATAGTTCAAAAAAGATTGATAAGTATTTTGTGCTGAAAAGCAGTGAAAGTTAATCAGATTTGGGCATTTGAAATTTGTTGTGAGCACATTAGCAAAAATGTTTAGCCCGTAGTTTATACTAATGTGAACTGTAAAACCTTTCACATCTGCCGTTTCTGCAACTTTTTCTGCGACTTTAGTCACAATAAGCTGAAGACCAAATTTGTTGAAATTATTACGATGAGACTACATTAATTTGCTACGGCCAGGTTCTTTAATTCTGCCATGGAGGAGTACTTTCAATTACGAATTTTCACAAAAATACTGGGCTACGCGAAATGATGAGTTGTTTCGCAGTTAGTGTTCAGATTTTTTTGGTGTAATAGGAGCAATTTTGGTATTGAATTTGAGAGTTTATTCAGTCTATGGCCGCACCATTGTTTAGTTTGAAGTGAAAGTATTTTTCAGTAGATAATGTCTCTGAGGTTCACTGGTGTGGTCTGAAAAAATATCGAGATATATCTGTCTGTTTAATCAGCAGCAAACCTAGGCTATATTGCTTTCCCTCGTCGGCTTTATTTTCAGGGTGTCGAGGAAAATATAGGTCCTGACTAAAATCACGGTTTCGTGTTTAGAAGGAATATTTTTAGCTTCAGTTCTGCAGGTCAATGAATGAATAGCAGATGTTGTTCATTTGTCCTGTACATAATTATTCTATTTTTTGCTGAAGAAAAATATAATGAAATTATCTTTAAATTTTGGTTAGCTGATCCAATCGTATTATTTTCTAAGGGTTTATGATAGAGGAGAGAACAAAAAAAAGAAGAAAGTAAAGTTGTTAGAAGCCGGAAAAAGTTTAGTGG